GATACCCTTCGTGGGAGCAGTCGACTTGTGGATGCGCTGTGGGCGCATGTCTGGATGGTCAATGGACCGCGGTTTGAGGAGGACGGCACGTGGTCGCGGATGAACGCGAAAGCGAGAACGCATGTTCCTCGGATATCTAGATAATCATCCGGACTTCGCTGTACAATGGCACGACCTGGTCCCCGCCGAAGCTGGTGTAGTGAAGGTTTCCATGGCATGCCTCAGGGTAGGAGTAGTAAAGGACCCGCGCAGATGGTGGGCTGTCGAGCAAGCGTTAGAGTTCTACACCCACTTGTCCAATCAGCTCCACGCGCACGGACTCGATTTGGAGCCGATCAGGATGCCAAAGTCGATGAAATCGTCAGGAACTCCGGCGAAGCAAGGACGTGGCCAAGGATCGTCAGGAAAGCCGGCGATAATGGATGGCCGAATCTCGAAAAGGCACCTGAAAGCGGAACAGAGAAGCGGCACCAAAGAAAACTGGAGCGTGCGGCTGAACACGCGTTCAGCAAAATGGAGCTCGGACGAGCTGAGGACAGCTCGCTATAAGGGGAGGGGGCATGTTGAGGAAGGAGCGCTCTTGTATGCATGACGGGTGCTCAATCTGTCGATTGCGGTGGCGATCAATACGCCTACGAGGGAAAGGGCGCGAGCAAGCAGTTTGGCGGGCTTTCGGACTATATAAGGATTCGTTGCGAAACTAGTGCAGAGTTTTCTTGTTCTCTTCGGCCGACTACTCCAACAGCGTTGCTCACGCCTTTCCCCATTCTCGATTACTACTTCTGTTCCAGAGCCACGACAACATTCCGGACGTCGCCGCAGTTGAGTGGTTCAGCACCTATTCTTTCTAGCTCATCGTTCGCTCTGCGTGGAGAATTGTTTTCCTCGGGGACAACGACTTGCTCTACTACTGCGTGTGCGCTTAAAGTATTCTGCCCATTCTCCCTTTTTCTCTGTGTACATTTTTCGTGAATCTCCAGGAGCTGTTTTTTTTTATCTATATTCCTCAGTAGTATTGCGTTGTCGTAATAAATTGTTACCCTGTCGTGGTCGAGTACATTGACGAGTGGTTCGTAACCATCATACTTTTTCACAATATACATAACTTGGGGGCCAAGCCACCACTCGTAGGTACTCGATTAGGACAGGGTCCTCGGTAATTCAGTTCACGTCCGTTCGTTCGTCGTTTCGTTTGTGGTTTGGCAGTCCCTTGGCGAAAGCCTCGAGTGGTTGCCGAATTGACGCATTGCTAGAGAGTTTGTGTGCAGTTTTCGCCGCAAGCTCCTTGAGACAGTGTGGTGTTCGGTTTTCTCTCACGAGAAAGTCGGTACTTGCAACCTCGCCTATAGGGTAATCTCTGCCCAAATTTTTTTTGGGAGGCAGGTGACGTTGCGATTATCGATTTTTTTTTGAGAAACACCGAACGCCACGCCAAGGCTGGACTGCCTCACTATGACGGAGTCTGGAGACATGATCACGCAGGATAATGAGGTGCTTGTTGCAGAGCAAATGTCGCGTGGGTCGGACGCAGACGAGTTGATGGCGGTGGACCAGAACGACCTGGAGCTAGCGGAGCTCAAGGTTTGTGACCACGTTTCTAAAGAGTGTGAAGGAAATAGAGATTCTGCTAGTGGCAGAGGTGGCCAAACATTGGCGGTCGGTGGATCCCTAAAAGGGTGTCGTTTGAGGAAGTGGCCGCTAGGGCAACCCAGCACACGATGGGACTGGTGTTGGATTTGAAGGAAAAGTGCGTAGCAAAGCGAGATGAGCGAGAGGGCTACAGAGGGGTAGCCACCACACTAGAATGCTACAGTCCAGAGCAGTTTGCGAGGAAGGTTGAGGACTTAGTGAATGGCTCATTAGTCATATCAGAAGTGAGAGAGGTTATGGGCTGGAAGAAACACGAAATAGTAGGCAACTGTATCACCTTGAAGGACGAAATAGCCCAATTACAGGCCAAGCTGGAGGCGCAGCAGCGCGAGATAGAGGAGCTACGAGTGCAAGCTAGGCGCGCTGAGCTGGTGCGGCACCGAGTAACAGGGAATGTGGACGACACCGTGCCAGGTAAGGTTACTGTAGGAAAGCAGAAATTTGCAGAGCTGGCGCAAGATGATCGCTCAACATTGTTCGTTAACCTGATTCATTTCAGAGTGGGCGAGACGAGCGGCTGAGGGCGAAAGCCTCACCATCCGGAATGGGCACGAAACCTTGTGGGAGGATGCCGCTGAGCAGAGGTCAGTCAAGATTTACTCATAGTGAGAGCGACCTTAGTGAAGAGGAAAATAGAACTGATTTGATCAATAGTGTCAGAGGTAGAAGTCGTGTAGAAACAAGAAATGATAACATGAGTGCATATCTTAAGTATATCGCGTTACCTGAGGTGCGTGTTTTTACTGGTTCTGATATGGATTACTCATGGGAGTCGTTTCAAGAAGCCTTTATGCTTAAATATCCAAGAGAATTGCTGGTCAGATAGAGAGCTTAGGACATTGTTGAAGACTAAGTTATCTGGCAAGGCAAAGGCCCAGTATGAGGCATTACCCAGGGAGCTGAGACGGGGCACCTTTGAGGAGGTAATGCGGGCGATGTCTGCGGCGTATCGAGGGGAAGCCCAGACGAAGAGGATAGTAGCATTAGGCAAACTCAGGCGACTTAAAAAGCAGGAATCACAGTCAGTTGCGGAATTTTGCGTGGAATTAGAGAGGCTATCGGCAATTGCGTACCCGGAGTTGGATGAACTCGCGTTAGCAACGACGAGGGCACAACAGTTGTATGAACAGTTAGTTCATTGGCCGGAGTCGTATCATTTACTGGTAGCCATGGAGGAAACAGGAGTGGACGCATACGCAAACCTCAAGGATACGGCTATGAGAATTGAGAGGAGAAAGCTGACCCTTAGGAATGCAAAGGACTTAGGCGAGTCAAGTGGATTGAAATGCGACGAATGGCCAGCAAGTTTGTCAGAGCCCCGGAGGGAGGTTTTGATAAGGCTCAGCGCAGTTTCAAACTGGCCCAAGTGCCCAAACAGCATCCAAGTCGAGATGCTGAAGGGGGTCGACAGGATAAAAGAGAAGCAAAGATGCGATGCTACAGATGTCAAGGCATCGGACACCTCGCAAGAAATTGCAAAGCGGGTAACACCCACGTGGGAAGCAAGGCAACGGGCGTGGTGTCAGAGGAGAGGGTACCTCGCAGAGCTGAGAGAAAGGATGTAGTACCAACCGAGGCGGGAACAACGCATCCAAGGTGTCCCGCACCGGCTTCTTTTGGGAAGAAGCATATGACAAAGATAGAGATAGGAATCAAAGCATGGAGGGCATTGCTTGATACCGGCTCGGAAATATCAATCATGCCCATTACGGTTTTCAACCATGCCAAGGGAAACGGGCAGTACGTAAGGAGTGGCCCGTTGATAGGACTAAAAACGTTTTTCGACGCATCAGGTAACCGGATGAAGTTCGAGACAGTGGTGGAAGTTGCAGTGAAGGAAAATGGACTCAAGGAAACCATCATTTCTATGCATGTTTCGAAGCAGAAAGGGCAGACTCTGATCATAGGTACCAATGCGCTCCCGCTCTTGGGGTACGATCTGGTCTGTCAAGGGGAGAGCAGCGAAACAAAAGCCCCCGTAGCTTCGAGTAGTGGAGGAGATGGCAATGACTCTGGAGAAGCGTTGTCTGAGACAGAGACAGAATTTGCTATAAGTTCTGCGGACCAGGAGAGCAAAGCTGTGGTCAGTAAGAGAGCATACGTGGCCCCAGGTGAAGTCAAGTGGATATCAATTAAGGGAGCCACGCGACCTGGCGATATACTTTTTTGCTCGCGGTTTGCGGGCATGAGGTCCGGTATATGCTGCGTGAATGAGAGTGGTGAGTCGCACATACAGGTGTGTAATTATGCGCAGGAGCCACTAGTATTGAGAGGTAGGCCAGGAGGTAGGCCATTATGAACAAGATGACGTAGAATACATCCCAGTGAAGACCGAGGAGGCAGCGACGGATATGTTGGTGTTGGGCAAGCCAGCATTACAAGAGTCCGAAAGGAAGCGGTTACTGGATCAGTTCCTAAGGGAGAACAGGGAAGGCTGTGATCAGCATGAACCGGAGTTGTGGGGTCTTGTGGCGGAGTACGACAAGGTGTTTGCTGTCGAAGATAGGGAATTGACCCAAACAAATCTTGTGATACATGAGGTAGACACAGGCAGTACACCTCCGATTCGTCAGAAGCTGAGGCCCGTACCGTTAGGTGCACGGAAGGAAGTTCAAAGGAATGATAAAGAGCTCTTAGATCGCGGTATAATCGAGGCTTCGCAGTCGGAATGGGCGTCGCCGGTAGTACTGGTCAGGAAGAAGGATGGATCGTTGCGACTGTGCATCGACTATCGAGAGCTAAACAAGAATACGAAGCAGGACGCGTATCCACTCCCGCAAATAGACATAATCTTGCATAGCCTGAGAAACAGAAGATACTTTAGCACGCTGGACATGGCCTCGGGTTACTGGCAGATACCTTTATCGGACGATGCCAAAGCAAAGAGTGCCTTCGTGACATCTGAAGGGCTGTACCAGTTTAAGGTATTACCTTTCGGGTTGTGTACATCCCCAGCGCGGTTTCAACGGCTCATGGACACAGTCCTTGGGGAGCAACTCGGTAAGGACGTCTTCGTGTGCATTGATGACGTCTTGATAGCTACAGACAAAGGAGCGCCACATAGAGGTACTGAGAGCTGTGTTAGAGGCCATGAGTAAGGCAAAGTCTGAAGCTGAAACCCCAGAAGTGCATGCTGTTGGGGGAAAAGGTAGCATTCCTTGGGCATGAAGTGGACAAGGAAGGAGTGCATGCGGACCCAGCCAAAATCGAGAAAATTCAGAACTATCCGCAGCCTACGTGCCTCGCAGAGATGCGTACCTTTTTAGGCTTATGCGGCTACTACAGGAAGTTTGTCCTAGGGTTCTCAAGTATTGCTCAACCGTTGTTTGAGTTGACTAGTAGCAAATCACCATGGCAGTGGCAAAGTGCTCACGAAGCGGCGTTCCAAGAGCTGAAAGCTCGACTCATAAAGCCGCCGGTGCTAGCGCAACCTGACATAGAGGCAGCACGAAGTGGACAGCGACCATTCATTTTGTACACGGATGCTTCGAGGGTCGGAGTAGGAGCAGTCCTATCGCAAGAGGGGCACGACGGTTTCTTACACCCACTTTATTTTGTGTCGAAAAAGCTGTCGAGGGCCGAAAGAAATTACCACATAACCGACTTAGAGGCGCTAGCTATTATAATAGCGTTGAGGAAGCTGCACTACCTTGTATACGGTATGCATGTAGCCGTAAGGACGGATCATTTGCCACTCACCGTGCTTTTCAAAAGGCAAAACGTTTCCGCGAGAGTGCTAAGATGGGCGTTGGAGGTGCAGCAGTACAAGTTAAGCATAGAACATGTGAAAGGCAAGGCGAATGCTGTCGCTGATGCGCTCTCAAGAGGAATACCGACCGATGCTAAGGCGGATGAATAAGTAGCCCAGGAGAAGACAAAATGTGTGTAGTGTGCATGAAGCAGAGAGGCCAGATTGGCTAAAAGAGCTGGAAAATGATAAGGATTACAGCACCGTTATAGAGAATTAAGAGCGAATAATCTAGACGAAGAGGTAAAGCTACCCGGCATGACCAATAGGCTTAGAGTAGCTGACTTCGTTATAGAAGAAGGCGTCTTGAAGTTGCTCCGAGAAGATGGAACGGCAGTACTCGTAGTACCGAAGTCCGAAAGAAAAAAAGTGTTTGACGAGGCGCATAAGGGATGTCTGGCGGGACATTTCTCGGCCAAGAAAATGTGTCGAATACTAAAGAAATCGGTCTTTTGGGAATCTATGGAGAAAGATGTTCGCAAAATGGGTGCGGGCTTGCAGGGAATGCTTCCTAACAAACCCGCGGCCGACAAATACCCACCGTTAAAGCCATTTGTAGCTAGTAGACCGTTTGACTGCGTGTGTGCTGACATTTTGGAGATGGGACTTAGCACCAGTGGGATGAAATACATTCTGGTGTTAGTGGATCACTTCTCCAAGTGGTTAGGAGCGTATCCATTGAGAGACAAGGGAGCAGCCTCGGTCGCTCAAGTGATATTTCAGAGATGGGTATGTGAGGGAGGCCGTTGGCCGAGACAGTTACACACGGATCAGGGTACCGAGTTTGTAAACGAGGTAATTAGTGAACTCACAAAGATCTCTGGGATTCGAACACACAGTTCACGAAAGGATATAATTCGCGGGAGAATGGCGCTGCAGAACGAGCTATAGGGACTTTACAGAGAATACTTAAGAAGAAGATAGAGTTCCCTGAGCTATGGGATGTAATGCTTCCGAATGCCGTTTTCGCGTATAATGTAACGCCTCATGCAGCGACAGGTGAAAGTCCATTCTTCCTTTTGTACGGGTTTGACCCAGTGATTCCGCTGAATGGACTACCGGAGAGTAGGGTTCGATTAAGTCAGATTGATCTTGATGACTATAAAACAGAACTCATCCGTGGTTTGCGAGTGATCCGCGAAGAAGTGTGTCAGCAGACGGAGAAGTATAGAGAGAGAATGAAAAAATATTATGATGATAAGAAAAACGTGAGCGCGTCATACTTGTTTAAAGGCGGCGAGAGAGTTCTTTATGAAGATGCCACGCGAGAGAAGCCGCGCGAAGTACCCAAAATTGGTCTGCGAATGGGATGGGCCATATAGAGTTATCGAAGTGAGCGAGAATTCTGCACTCATCACAAAAATAGGAGTAAATGAGGACCCCGTGAGGGTACAATTTGACCTTTTGATCAAATGTCCTGAAGAAATTACGGACGAACCGGTTAAAAGTAACACTAAACGAAAGAAAGGTCGAAAACTAAGAGTAGCAAAAGAAGCAGTAATGTGCAAAGCTATGACATCATGTATCGATGCGTCTTTCAGGCTCGAGGACGCGTACGATGTCAATGACGATATGCACTTCTTGCACATGCTGTTCAAGTGCGATGGACAAAACTTCCCCCAGATGGACGGTCGCAATGGATTCCCGCTGTCGGGCTGCCGCGTTAGCCAGAACACCTTCGTTCGTGATCTCCTCCCAGTTGTCCCTCAGCCGGCCGCAGACGAGAGGTTGGAGTGCGTTCTGGATGCTGCCCGTGTGTTGGCCATATGGTGGGGCGCGGGGTCGATTTCGGCAAAAGTACAGCGTATATGCGACAAGTCGTATCTAGCCATCACCCCCAAGTCGGTCGGCACGGCATATGCATTCTTTCGTAGTCGCTGTACCCACGTAGCCATTATGGCTAGCATGGTACCCGTTCGGTGCGAAGTTCAGCCATGCGATGCTCAAAGGATGGCCATGGGACATCACCAGGATAGTGGAGTACGGCTGGAATATCAGTCGCAAGATGGACTGGACGACCGTCGCAGAGGAAGTCGGGAAGACCAGCGAGCATGGAAGAGTTGTCGTCGTCATTCCGGAGGTGCTCAGAAGGCTCACTTTCTGCTTGAAGGGCCCGAGGACGACCTTGTTCTACTACCGCTCCTTTCGCGAAATCAAAAGGAACAACAACGTCTTGTTCGCAGATGAAGTTGGAAATGCAGTGCTGGTACTGCCACCGAAGGAGCCGGACGACCCATACTCGTGGATACCCTTCGTGGGAGCAGTCGACTTGTGGATGCGCTGTGGGCGCATGTCTGGATGGTCAATGGACCGCGGTTTGAGGAGGACGGCACGTGGTCGCGGATGAACGCGAAAGCGAGAACGCATGTTCCTCGGATACCTGGATAATCATCCGGACTTCGCTGTACAATGGCACGACCTGGTCCCCGCCGAAGCTGGTGTAGTGAAGGTTTCCATGGCATGCCTCAGGGTAGGAGTAGTAAAGGACCCGCGCAGATGGTGGGCTGTCGAGCAAGCGTTAGAGTTCTACACCCACTTGTCCAATCAGCTCCACGCGCACGGACTCGATTTGGAGCCGATCAGGATGCCAAAGTCGATGAAATCGTCAGGAACTCCGGCGAAGCAAGGACGTGGCCAAGGATCGTCAGGAAAGCCGGCGATAATGGATGGCCGAATCTCGAAAAGGCACCTGAAGCGGACAGAGAAGCGGCACCAAAGAAAACTGGAGCGTGCGGCTGAACACGCGTTCAGCAAAATGGAGCTCGGACGAGCTGAGGACAGCTCGCTATAAGGGGAGGGGGCATGTTGAGGAAGGAGCGCTCTTGTATGCATGACGGGTGCTCAATCTGTCGATTGCGGTGGCGATCAATACGCCTACGAGGGAAAGGGCGCGAGCAAGCAGTTTGGCGGGCTTTCGGACTATATAAGGATTCGTTGCGAAACTAGTGCAGAGTTTTCTTGTTCTCTTCGGCCGACTACTCCAACAGCGTTGCTCACGCCTTTCCCCATTCTCGATTACTACTTCTGTTCCAGAGCCACGACAACATTCCGGACGTCGCCGCAGTTGAGTGGTTCAGCACCTATTCTTTCTAGCTCATCGTTCGCTCTGCGTGGAGAATTGTTTTCCTCGGGGACAACGACTTGCTCTACTACTGCGTGTGCGCTTAAAGTATTCTGCCCATTCTCCCTTTTTCTCTGTGTACATTTTTCGTGAATCTCCAGGAGCTGTTTTTTTTATCTATATTCCTCAGTAGTATTGCGTTGTCGTAATAAATTGTTACCCTGTCGTGGTCGAGTACATTGACGAGTGGTTCGTAACCATCATACTTTTTCACAATATACATAACTCCGCCCTCGCCGCGACTCAGGAGTAACGATTTATGTGGACCTGGCCTCTGCTAGTAGCAGAGATCTCAACATTAAACTTCTCTGAAATTCGTCACTAACATCGTCCGAATGGCAAATCTTCAGCAGACATCACCTGCAGCCACAATCAAGCGACATTAGGAAACTTAGTTAACTAGCTACTTCAACTCTCTCCGTTTCCACTC